GTATGGTTAACACCCAATGAGACACCCTAGGTTGACATCCTTATATCCTGAAATTAAAACCCAATTTAAGTATTTGTTTCTCACGATTTTCTTCTTTACAACACTTAATCGTTTTAGCTTGAATTTGATCCTATAGAAATAAAGTGTATATTTTGGTCTTTGTGGATTCGATCCTAAAGTGGTACATCGACATACCATTCGATTGTGGTAGTGTGCACATTAGGTTAATTGGTGTGCGTTCGCACGTAATATCAAAATGTTTTTGCATGTTATATACAAAATCATCTCTTATAATTTTCTTATATATCCTCACAACAGAGGTCCAAGTCTTTATGTCTATTCCTAGAATTATTAAGTCATCCCAAAATTATTATACTCTTCTCCGTCCTTTCTAAATCCTAACTATAGTTTAAATTGTTTAGCAGTTAATTTAATTATAAATCCTTACTGTAATTCCATAACCACAATTATATATAGATATATACCCAATGTAAAAAAATTTTATTACAAAAGAAAATAAAAAAAAATAATATGATATAATCACTATTTATACCTTGAAAACTAAACAATAGTAATTGTTTTTAAAAGTCTAAATTATTTTGGATAATATGGTTTATCTGATAATTTTTTAAAAATTAATATGTAAATCTTTAAATAGTAATGTGGTAAGTTATCAAGTCGAATAAAAATGATAGTTAAAGTGTACTTTTTGCATAATTTAAAACAGTAGAATTCAAAGAAAAAGTGTAAAATGTATTAAAAAAATATATATATATATATATATATATATATATATATATATATATATATATATATTAGAGGAAAAAACATTGTGTTGACTCTCAACTATAATTCTGAATAGGTTTATTTATTTATTATTATAATAGAGGAAAACCAGTATTGAAAACTGTAAACTAATCCAGACACTTTCCCCCACACAAGCGTTGTTTACGAATATGAATTATCAATGCCGGTCCGGACTTACGTGGTGACTAAAGCGAAGCAAAAAAAATTATGCCCCTAATTTATAATTAAATATATACTTGATCAAATTATTGTAACTTATTATTATATTTCTTTTTTCAAAACTCCTTCCGTTCAGTTTAGATGTCGTTGTAAAAAAAATTTTCGTTTTAAGATTAATGTCGTTTTATAATTTCAAATGCAAAATTTATTGATTTTATATGCTATTTTATTTTTATTGGTTGAAATGTAGTTAGATGTATAGATAATGATATTTTTATTTTAAAAATATATAAAATTAATTGTTTTCTTAATCTGTGTATACAAACCTAAAACGATAACTAAAATGAAACGGAAAGAGTATTATTTAAGAAAATAAACTCTTCATTTCCAAAATTATTAATCAAACTTGAATAATCAAGTTATTTTCTGTGTTTATTGATATTCTTGATAATTCATTTGATTGACTGGTAATTATTATTTTGATTAACATTTTCTATAATTGTTTTCCAAAAATTAAAAAAAAAAATCAATTTTATAAGTTAGCAACACGTATTATAAAATCACGTAACATCAACTTTACTATGTCATAAGATATAAGAACCCAATTTAAGATATTTTTGTTTGTTCATATTTCAGAAATTTCTTTTTAAAAAGTTACAAAAACTTACAAAAGAAAATGAAGAAATAGAGGAAAGTGTTATATTGGAAACGTGAGAGGCCAAAAAGAAGAATGTCAACTTAAAAACTAATTAGAGATTACTTAATAAATTGTTTATTTAATAACACTATTTAATATAATTTGTAATAAAAGAAACTAAGTTTGTTAAAAAGGTAACAAATCGTGTCTAATCACCAAATCTTGATTGCTACTATTATTATCTAAAAGGAAATTAAAAGAAGAAAAATAAATAAACAAGAAGAGGAGCCAAATTGGATACCTACGTGACTAGATTTGAACTAGACAAACCACTAAGGTAAAGTGATTCGACAACATATTGGCGCCGCTGAACTATATAGATTATGGCGCCCAAACCCCTTGCTTTATAGGTTTTAGTCCTGGGCCGGTCCTGTGATTATCTATACTGGTGGACATCTATGGATGATCATCAGTTTGCATGGATTCTATGGTATAATTTGAAAAGACGAAACAATAAGGTGTTTAATAATATTGATGGTTATTCTAGAGATATCTAAAACTGGCAGAGAAGAAATCTTTCCTCTGAGATGAGGCTCAGATCCCAGTCACAAGCAAATCTAATGCTTGTGTCGACGGATCTACAGTTACCTCTCATCCCAGGTAGATGGTGTTTTACAAATGGATCATGGAAAGTGAATGAAATGTTCAAGGGACAAGGTTGGTATAGTTTGTTACAGGGTTTCGTAAGCCTAATGGGAGCACGTAACACAAGAGCGAGCCTCTCGCCATTACACTCAGAAATGGAAGCCCTTATATGGGCTACGGAAAGAATGAGGAACTTACGTTAATACAATGTCACTTTCGCAATGGATTGTATTCAATTGATGAAGATTGTTTGTGAACTAGAAGAATGACCAACTTTTGCGAATTATTTGGATGACATGAAGATCCTTCAAGGAAGTTTTAATCACTCGGAGATCATCCACATCCCAAGATCTCTGAATAAAAAGGCGGATAGTCTAGCGCGCAGTGCTAGGAAACAATCGTCTTTTGTGGTTCATATAGATATAGAGTTACCAATTTCGTTTACAGAGTCTTCATAGAGTCTATTTTTAGTAGATGACAAAAAAAACTAATTACATGATTAAAAAGGAAAATCTTCTTATTAGTTAAAAACCTATAATTTTAAATAAGAATAACAAAACCAAATGGTGAATACATATTAAAATCACTTTCAGTTGGGAATAAACTAAATATTATTTTAGTTTTTCCATTGTTTAATTATGTTTTCCTTCACTCTAACTTCCTCCAATAAATTATCTGATATGAGGTGGTATATAACTAGAGTAAAAAATCTGCTATAAAGTACATTTTAATAATTTATAAATTACTATTTTAAAACAATATTTAAAAAAGTATGAGAAAGTTCCTTACAAATATTGTGTTTATTAAACAGAATTCAACAAAACCTATAAGAAGTTACAAAACATAGCTAAACACTAAAACTCTAAAAATAATAAATATTTCATTCCAAATATAATTATGATCTGAATTCTAAAACATAATTTTCTTAAATTAGAAAATATTAATTATTATTTATGATATCATTAAACTATATATACTGTATTTTAAAATTGAGATTCAATTATTTTATCAAATTTTATTCTATAATTGATTTAGCTTGAAGATAGACTAATTTATTATCATGAAAAAATCATTTATGTAAGTGTTTCTAAAAACTTCGATTCTTGAAATAAATATAGTATATTTATTTAGATTTTTATTATGTCAAAATTAAAAAGAAATAATAAGAATATATCTATTATTACATTTTATGAATAATGTTTATTAATTTTCTATTTTCTAAGAATATAGAATAATGAAATTTATTGTTATTTTAATTCAAACCAAAAATATTTATTAAAAATAATAATATGATCTCAGAATTCTTTTCATTCTTTTGTTTTTTCAATTTATAGTGATTTTAGATGTTTTATAAGGTAATATAATCGTATATTAAGTAGTTTTTTTTTTTAATTTTCGGCCCCATAGGACCAACCCTAGCTATAAAAAAAAGGTGGTGAGCATGGATATGTAACTCGTGACCATTTAATTTACCATATCCCATATATATTAAGAAATAAACATTATAATAAATACGTTCACACCGTAATTGACATCTATTGGTCTCACAATCATTTGGCAATTAATGTATTCACACACTTTTTAAATTCATTATTTAATGTGATTATATATTATTTTTAATTAATTCATTTTCCTACATTTTAGTATTTGCATTAATAAATTAAAATTTTCTACGTAAAACTAATGAATAATATCTTTATTGTAAATAAATTACAAAATCATTAAGATTCGCATCAACTAAATTGTTGCGATGAAATTTTTTGTAGAAATTGAAAGTTTTGTACCTTGCCGAAGTTGGTCATGGTTGAGGCGTCGGTACACAATAACAACAAATACGTGATTGATTATGCATTAAAGAAACTGAGATGAAAAACACCACACATAAACTCGGATCTTTAGTTTAGTCAAATATTAACATTTTTATAAAGTTTTCATATCAAACCAAGAATTAGAAACAAAATCAAATCGGTAAAAGAAAATCAGAAATTAAAAAAAGCTTAAAAAGGAAATAAAATTCACAAAATCGATTAAAAACAGAATTCAGGTACCAAGTGAAGATGTCACTTTGTAATATATATTATTTTTATTTTTTACGGGTACAATTTGATTTTCTTCATATAAAAATGATTAATTTCTAGGTTTGTTTATTTTTACTTACTTTTATTTAAGAAATTACTATCATGTGTTATTTTGAACAAAAATGTTTTAAATCTTAATTAACGGTATATTCATATATTTATCATCACATTTATATACTTTTACATATACATACATGTACATATTGACATGAGCGACTATATAACTAAATATTCACCACAAGTGAGAATTTTAATTCTTATAGAAGTTGTTTTTTTTTTAATGTTTTCTTTCACTATCACTCAAATTGTAGTGAAATGTTTTGTGCTAATAATTTTATTTTATTTTCTGCAAATGTTATTTTGATTTTATTTGATTTTACATGTCTTTAGAAATTATAATAGGAAAATATTAGTTCGACATAAAATGTCTAAAATTTATATAAAACGAAACCAAACAAATAACAATAGTTTTTGGTTATCATCAGAAAAATTGAAAACTCAAACAAACCAAAATAAATATAGATTTAGAATGATAGTTATATTTTAGGACACTAAAAACAACGTAAAACTGAACTAATATCCATACTAAACAAAGATAATATCATTTTTACCTTAAAAGTAACAAAAAATAATAATCTCATTCCACGTAGATTATTACCAAGTTGTTATTATTAATTTAAACCCATTTAACATGTTTTATTCGATGAAAAATATATTACAGACGTAGTCTCTCCAATGGATGAGACTTTATTATGATAAAAAGATACAGATGTAGATAAAAAAAAGATTCAGATGTCACAAGTAATCCACAACGGCTCCTCAAACTGACCTTCAAGCTTGTCTCCATCTTGACCGTTCAAACTCAACCCACTCAGATCCAAATCATCCACAGTATGCCACGTCGGAGTCCCATCTTCATACCCATTCCACGTCAGCCTCCTCAGCCCCGTCCCATCCAACTTCACAACGTACAAATCTCCATACGGCTGAAACTGATTCGGAATCGCCACCGGCTCCGCCGTAATCCCACCGAGATTCGCCGTGAAAACCAGCCAATCACCATCCTTATTAAAACTCACGTGGTTCACCCTCTCCCTCGCCGCTTCCTCCGACCCCTCAGGCCCCGAAATCTCGATCCTCCTCAAACCAGAACCGTCAGGCCTCACCACGTAAGCACCAAACGCGGCGTCGTTCGACGGATCGTGACGGTTAGATGAGAATCCGATCAGATCTCCTTTCGGTGACCAGGACGGCATAGTGTCGATCCAAGGCCCTTCCGTTAACCGTCGTATCCCTCCGGACTCTCCGTTAACGGCGTCAACAATGTAGAGATTCTTATAACCCGATCTTCCGGATCGGAACACGACGGACTTTCCGTCGGGAGAGCAAGACGGGAAGGCGTTGTTCCCTGTGTTATCGAGAGTGAGAAACTTCACTTCGCAAGGAACCTCATCTCTATCGACGGTTAGAACCGACGGTTCGAATTGAATCCGAGCGATCTGAACCGAGATTCTCGCGGGACGGAATATCGGACCGAGGGATGCGTAGATGACGTGGCGCTCTGTTGGGCTCCACGAGTTGTAGAACGCTGTACGGTCTTTGATTAACGTCCAACGTTTTGAACCGTCGGATCTCGCGACTTTGATCCCACCGTTGATGTCGAAGTCAGAGTTTAAAGCGATTAAATCTCCGTCAGGGGATGAAGACGGGAAAGATCCGTTTAATCTGAGTAAACGCAGCGTTTTGATTGGTGACACGATGGATTCTAGGTTCGGGACTGTTGACTCGCCCTGAGTCGACTCGCCGCGGAATCGGTGGTAGCCGAGGAACTCGGAGTTTGCGGAGACGAAGGGGTTGTAATGGTGGAAGCTTGAGTGAGTAACCGCATGAAACGTTTTGAGTTCGAGGTCGAAGATCTCGATGTGACGGTGGGTGACACCACGGCGGCGAGTCGCGACGGCGATTCGATTCCCGTCGTGGAAAGCTGCGGGAGTGAAGCAGTGGAGACCCGGTGGAGTGACTCGGACCGGTTCGACCGGAATTAAAGAAACATTGAGATTCTCCGGTATATCGAACCGGTAAATGCTCCACCAGCCGTCGTCAGCTTGACGGTGGAAGAAGACGGTTGAGTCGCCGGACCAAGTCGGCCATCCGCCGCGTTCGCAGACCAAAACTCTCGTCTCCGGCTCAGATGGTTTGAAGATGACGATGTCAGTTTTGATCTCGTGAAACTCGCCGCCCCAGGAGCGAGTTCCGTACGAGGCCACGGCGTGATATTTTCCTGATTTGGAAACCGCGGGGCTGTAGTCAGCGGTGTCTGGTGGAGTGACACGTGTAACTTCTTTCTCTTGGCCGTCGATGTTCACTGAGTAAAGAGCATTCCAGTTCTTGAAGTGGCGATCAGGCTTCTCGTGAGCGGAGATGAAGTAGAGAGTGTTGTTTTGAGTGATGATTGGACGGTCGTGGAAGAAGCTTTCCGGAGCTCCAGGAAGCTGCTCGGGTTTTGAATTTCCGGGTCGGGTTCTGAATATCCTGGCTGTTCCGCCTCGTTCGGAAACGAAGACGACATCACGGCCGTTATTGTCGGTGAACTGAGCGTTGAAGTTGATGGATACGCCGTCTGTTACACAACGTTCGACGGAGGAGGCGATGTGGTGGGAGAAAACGTCGAAGCCGTAGTGAGTGCGACCAATGGTGGTGTAGATGATGGTGCCACTTGGAGTTTCCATTTCTGTAAGATTTGATGATATGATACGTTGGTGGTAAGCGAGTGGAGTATTTATAAAGAGGTTGATGACGTGGAGGAAGGTTTTGACTGTGTGTGTGAACGGAACAAAAGATCCGTACGTGTGTAATGACGTAGCAGTCGCGGTAGGATCTTTATCCTTAAAATTAATATACGTGGAAAATCGACGCAAAAAGATATTCGTGTCTTTAAGAGTGAGAAATTTGGTTTTGAGTACTAGATAGTAGAGGAGATTAAGGACTTGAATATTGGATTGGTAAGAAACGGCGGCTGGATGATATTATTGATTCTGATTTGTAAATATTCACACTTCGTATCATTTATTTTCTAGTAACAAGGTTGATTAAAAATTACGCAGAAATTAGTTGGAGCTTAACTCATTGCATAAGTTTTTCTAGAGTAATTTTCACAAATGGACGCTTGCACTTAAAAAAATGTTTTCTTCGGAACATGCCCAGTGGAGTTGGGGTAAGGCTTGTAGATAAGAGGATTTGGTATACAATGTTCAACTTTTTCTAAATGAATAAATACCTGAAAATCTGAATTAAACCCTATATAAATATTCAAAATTCAAAGAACTAACTTAAATATTTAATTTAGGGTATAGTCATATAATATGTTATCTATCAAAAAATATTTTTTTAAATAAGTATTTCAAGTCAATACTGTATATTATGCTAATTTATTTATTTCGAATTACTCAGTATCTTTAATATCTCAGATTTAGAAACTTGCATGCAGATTCTCTTGACAGAGAGATGAGAAGTAATTCTTTTTCTTTTTTCATGTAAATCAAACCCGATTAGAAGAAGTGTCTCTTCAGAATGTCTTCTCCTCGGCTAACAGTTGATCTCACAATCGCAAAGAAAAAAATTAGATCCCAATGTAATTTATAATAAATTAGATCGGTTTACGCTACGCGCGGGATGTAATATATTGTTTGTTTAAAATATACTTTTGGAATTTCTTTTTGTATTTGGATTTATTGATTGTTAATATTTTGAGTTTTTGAAAATTTTGTCAAGATAAATTGATTAATGTTGGACCAAATGAGAGAGTAGTCTATTCTGATGTGAGGGAGTTCGAGAAATGGTGAGAATAATCTATTATATAAAGTAATGCATCATTCCCTCTAAACACTGCCACATAGGATGACAGCTCAGAAAGTCCATGTCAGCAACGGTTAACACATCATTTAGGCTTTCGGTTTAGTAAGTTTCTGGTCCGATTAAAAAGGAGTGCCTCTAACCCTAATACAATCAACTATCAACGAAGAAGGCGCCTCTCCTCTTCCTGAAAATTCTCTAGCGGTTCTTTTTCTTCCATACATATTCTTCGAAGAATAGTCCATGATTTTCTTCTGGATTCTGAGAAACTACCATCATTGATCGAATCACAAGCTTCGTTGAATCATTGTTTAGGCGATAGACCTATTCGTCTAATTCGGCGAGTGTTGTAGATTGCTTGAGTTTCCATGGATCAGATTTGTTTCTCAAAATCAACACGTTGTAGATTGCTTCGTCTGTCACAGGTTTTGAGCTTCGTTGATCAATACATTGAATTATAGGTTAGGCGACATATCTCTTTGGTTGTTTGTACCTTTTTGATTCGGCGAGTGTTGTTGGATCGGTTTTGTTTTTGAGAATTAACATGTTCTTTTGGTGGATACTGTCACAGGTTTTTGAGACATATTTGTTCGTTTCTAGCTCTCTGATTGGGCAAGTATTTTTGATTACTTGAGTTTTCAAGGATCGGTGTTGATTTTGAAATAAATATTTGGTTTGTGGATGCTCTACTGTTACATGTTTTGAGTTTTGGATAATGGTGTTTTTCTGCAGCGTTGCTTACAGCGTTGCACAATGGGTGCTGTTAAGTCTCTTTCTCCAAGTCTACTATGAAGCTTTAACGGACTGTGTAAGCATTTGCTTGCACCTGCAACAATATTAATACTATTGGTGTCCTCCGGTATGTAGCACCTCCCGACACTAAGAAGCCTTCAGGGGGAACATCTTCCAGGATGGCTAAGAAACCAGGCATGACATCGGTTAAGATATTGAGAACCCTGACGCAGTATTTCTTATTTGAGTATTCTCTGTTTCGATCAGAATATCTGCAAACAATTTGTTTAGGTTTAAATAATATTTATCATGTCAGTTACTTATTAAGCATTCGTTTGTATAAGCAGCACTTAAATCAACTTTACATAAAAAGTGTGAACAATAAAATAACTTTCAACCAAACGAATACGTGTCCAAACTGTATTAAAAAACATGACTAAGTTTAAACAAGTTGATATTTGTATCAATTCATTCACTAAATGTCCAGTTTATATACACAACATTTAGTTACAACTTTAAAGCAAAAGGGTTAATTATAAAATAACTTAAAAGTATACAAAACATGTCCGATCGGTCTTACAATGTGTTAAATTAAAATTATTTGAAATTTTTATCACGTCATATATTCACTAAAAATCAGTTTAAATTAATTGAAATTTTTATCATGTCATATATTCAGCTTGAACTGAAAATGACTCCGTACGTGTACAAGTAATAGATTAACCACACTGCTATCTTCTCTGTACGTATACAAGTAATAGATTAACCATACTGCTATCTTCTCTGTACAAAATCTTTCTACAAGAACCTATACGATTCAGACCAATACAATTTGATGATGGTAAGGTAATGCCCATAAATCTATACAATCTACATGAGTACAAGACATTTATTGACTACCGTACGTTAAAAGCCAAATAATTCAGAGTTGTGCTTTGATGCATCTGAAATGAAGTATATCTAACTGAGCATATGTAGATGTTCGACAGTAGTTCATGCTTGGTTTCTGTTGGAAACAAGTGGTGGTTCATAATCTTAGTAAAACCTAACGTACTTTAAATCTATAATCTGGACAAGAACAAGACGTTTTCAAATGATAGTTAGTACTTAGTACCAGCTCCATATTAACCAATATATTACCCCATCTATTGCTGTATACTTACTACCGTTGTTTTCAAAAGATGGTTTAAAGTAGAATATCATATTTAACTGAGCATATGTAGACGTTCGACTTAGTGTAGATTTCTCTTATCTCTAATTAGCTAATTAAACATTAATCAATTGTAATTTTTAAATTATAAATAATTATTTTAACATAACTTAGCAGATGATAAAATTTATAATTTGGGTTTACAAATATATTTACAATTTATAATTTAGTTATAATTTTCTAAGAATAATAATTAATAATTTAGTTATACTAATATATTTATGGTAAACTTTAAATTTTCTATTTTTAAAAAACTTAATGATATGTTTAGCATTATATATAAGTAACTAACATTAAGTACTGTCAGACTATCAATAAAGTAAAAATATTAAAATTTAGTGATAATATATAGTAATTTGTTATATGTTACCATATTTTTTCTTTAATAGCGTCGAATCACATGGTTTACTTGTACATTAATTATAATAGCATATGAAAGGATAAAAAACAAGTATCTTTAAAATAGTAACAATTAGTATTAGATTTTCAAGTTACATACCTAATTTAAAATATTTTTTGTTGTAATTTATAATAGATATTTTTTTTAATATATATAAATATATATATATATATATATATATATATATATATATATATATATATATATATAAAATATCATTGAATTCAAGAAATAAACGTATAATTTTTTTTTACTATGTGTTAGATTCAGTCTGCTATAATTTTAAAGTTTACATTTTACTTAATATCAAAAGATAATAGGAAAATATCAAAAAACAAATAAATATAATTTATAAAAATAATAATAATAATAATAATAATAATAATAATAATAATAATAATAATAATAATAATAGTAATAATAATAATAATAATGAAAGATAATGTAGCTTAATTGCAAATAAATTGAACATTTTTAGCATTTTTATTTAACTAAATAAATTTTAAAACATATAAATGAAACTGAAAAGAACATGAACAATCATACATTATTTTAAATTTAGATGCATGTCGTTAAAATGAAACTAACATGAATCATTATCATTTTGTATCATAAACAAAACACAACATAATTATCAAAAGAGTTGTCGAAATCAACCTTAATTGTTGATAATATCAATGAGTAACATTCTACAAAACAACTACGATAACCTTGACAAAGATTTTTTCTAAATACAAACATCAGTCTCCACTATTTTATGAGTCCTTACAAAAAAAGGTACAACGGTATTAGAATTTGGATCCCATTTTCTTTTGACCAAATCTAATTGATTTATGTATTTTATAGTACTAGAAGTGAAAACACTAAAAACCTTACAATTTAGGATTAAAACATCAAATATTAAGAATTTGATATTTTTAGTTATATAGTTGAAGTTTGTTGTAGACGACAAAATCATATTCACATACAATCTATCTTAAAAGAAAATTTACATAAAACTACACATTTTCTAAATACTGATTCCCCAAATCCCGCCCGTAGGGCGGGCTTGTCCTAGTTAAGTGTAAAATAAACCGGTTAGCTTAATTTGTTAATATTTAGTATATTTTTTATGTTTAAAAAATTACTGTTTAAATTAAAAAATATTATGAGTTAACATATTAATATGAATGGGTGTTCTTGCGAGTATGTCATGATTGTTGGACTTTTCAAGATTAGTAACCGTATACAATAGTACTAGGATAAGACAGGTGAGTGTATGTAATTAAAATATAAGATTTTAGTATTTACAAATTTAAAATTTATATATGATTGTTTTTATATGTATTTGAAATTTTGGAATTTTTATATAATTATCTATACGTAGGATCAGAAACAATTGTAATTAAAACTGTTGATCAAAAATTATAATTTAATGGGTCCGGTTCATATATCTTTTCACTTTTCAGTGTTCGAGAGATGGAAAATAAATGGAGTGTTACATGGCTTAATTGGTAAAACATTATCAAGTTCGCTAATGTTTTCTTAAAAATCAATTGGTAGAATATTCGCATTTAAAATATATAAATTTCCAAAAATAATTTAATATAATTTATTTGGTTTTCTAATAATATCAAAAAAATAATACTTTTAAAAATTATTTAAAAAATAATAATTTTATAAAAAAAGAAATTAAGTTTTAAATTATATTATGTTGAAAGTAAAATTATTTCTTACGATATGATATATATATATATATACATATATATACA